ACTGCAAATCTGTCTGTTTCTTTCCTTTTTTTCCTGTTATTGCTTAACGAAGAATTAATTAGTTGTCTTAATACACTGATCTATTATGGATGGCCTCCGTTTAGTTAGGAAATTAATATAAATTTATGTAAATCTTGTAGGTCTATAGAGAGCTTATATTCCTTAGCACTCCCCTAGGAGTTAATACTGAGTCCTGCGTGTTTAAGAGAGTAGGCTATGCAAGCTATTCAGCTGTCTGCGGAGCTGTTAATACTCCTTGCTCATTAGCATACAAAAAAATAATAATTACTAGTATTCCGAAAAAAATTAAATAATTACCAGTATTCTTATGGAGTTTTCCTCCTTTTATTTATAATTAGTATTGGTTATTGCTGGTCTGCTGATGCTACTTCATTTTCCTTTTCCTTTTTTTTTTCTCTTTTTCTTTACTGAGCCCTCTACTTTGTTAAAGCCAGTGCCAGAGGCTAAATACAGATATCATAGACATATTGCAGTAATAGGTTTTATTTATCTTTTCCTGTTTGCAAAATTACCTTAGCAAACAGTCTTTTTCCTTCCCAGCGTTGCTCCTCCACTTATCCCCCGCGCGTTTTTAGTAAGTGTAAGTGTTCACAGGATTAGACTTCAGTTCTTTCTCCACAGTAGCTTACGATACCCAGGAACCGATCCAAGGACCGCTAGCTTGATCCTCTCCAAGATTTTTACGGTGTTTCTGGGCTCATTGCTTTTTTTCTCAGAGAATTTCTTCCATTACCTAAATTGACGGCGTTCCTCATGTACCACCACGATTATCATAAGCCTCGCCACCTCATAGCCCCGCCTCCCACCTCAATGTGAGCTATTTCATACGTCCCCCTACATATTTGTTTGTCATTCTTAATGTTGATCAGGTTAAGTTTGACTCTGCTGTTTCTTTTACTTTTATTATCCCACACTGGCAAGCCTCCAACGTCAACACAATGTTTATTGTTAAACACCTACCTTATATATCTAGGGCCTCCTTTTGTGGTACTTTAAGCAGATTGTTAATCCCTAGCTTATCTACTATTGCCTAGTTCACAAAGCAATACAAACTCTTAGTTTAGCTCATTTTATCTCATTAACAAACAAATGTGCAATGTTTTCGATGCCACATAACTGTAATACTACATCTACGGATCAGTTTGCACCAGCTGTTGTGGTAGTGCAAACCTGCTTGTTTGACCTATGCACGAATAAAATAAAGAATTAAAAAAAAATAAAAAAAAATTGCAGCCTTCAGACACACAATCTGAAATGTCGGGAGTGTGCCCTTTAAAGGTTCCCATTACATAGGGGGATTAAAAGTAATGCCCGTAATTCTCTTTTGCTAATGGTGAAATTTTGCAATTGGGACACAGATGTTACTCACTAAGGTTAGCAACAGTTATTTTAGTGAGTTAACAGCTGGTGGTTAAACATAATTTACAACACTGGAAAGGAGCCCTGAGTATTAAGAGCCTGTAGAATAGATCCTTATCATATATTAAAAAATGAGATCTGTACACATCTCCCATGAATTGATAAAGTAATATTTAGACATGCAACTTGATTGAGGTTTGAAATTATACAGAAACACTGTTTAAATATTTACATATATATGTTAAGGTTTCAAATTATTGCAATAAGCTTATAGTAACTTATGTTGATACCCATTCTTTAGTAAAAAATGTTAGGCAGCATTGAAGGAGTGGATGGGACAGATAGTATTAAATGCACCTGTATAACCCCGGACTGGTGGTGTTTTATTCACATAACTTTGCTTGCAAAGTGTGTGCAGTAATCATTCAGTAGATGAGATGTAATTTAACGTGTTATTGATTATGTTAGTTTGTAACCATATGGAATGTTAAAATATTCCATCCTTATCATTGTTTGCATGATCATCATTATTTGCACGTCCTTCAAGAACCACTTCTTTTGCCCCTCAGCATGTTCGTGTAGGATGGGAGCAACTCCTCACTACTATTGCTAGAACCATCAATGAAGTGGAGAACCAGATTTTGACTCGTGATGCCAAGGGCATCAGCCAAGAACAGATGAATGAGTTCCGTGCATCGTTTAACCACTTTGATAGGGTGAGAAAAGTCCTGAAAAAAAACAAAAAACACAACTGTCACCATTTATAGAAACAATCAGATAACATATTAAAATGTTTGTATCATTTTATTATAACAACTTACAGAAAAGGAATGGCATGATGGACCCAGATGACTTCAGAGCTTGCCTTATCTCCATGGGATATGATCTGGTAAGACACCGTATGTTCACATAATAATGTAAAATAAAAAAGTATTACAAATTCTTATTTAGAGTGTTATAAAATGATGTCATTAAGTAAGATTCTAAAAACACTTAGTGAATGTCATTTAAGAACAAAATAGATAAATGGTGGGTAAACATTTTATTTGAATTTAGGAACAGATTTAACTGAAAATACAGTATAAATTGGGTTAATTCTGCCCATTCATATTTATTACAGCCATTTCATGAATGTTTTGCTTGCACTCTAACTATGTTTTACTTTTTATTCCTCTTTTGACTCTAATTATCTTATACTTTATATCTTCACTTTAGCTGTGTTTATGTGGTTCTTTAATATTATTTGAATATATATATATATATATTCAAATAATAATATAATATATACACACACACACACACACACTATTTAATTTACAAACTCTTTCTGTATTTCTTTAGGGTGAAGTGGAATTTGCCAGGATTATGACTTTGGTTGATGCCAACAATACAGGTGTTGTGACCTTCCAGGCCTTTATCGACTTTATGACCCGAGAGACAGCAGAAACTGACACAGCTGAGCAGGTCATGGCTTCATTTAAAATACTGGCTTCAGACAAGGTCAGAGACTCTACAGTAAATTGGAACATTTCTGAGAATATGAAAATTTCAATGTCCTTAGCAACATCCCAAATTCATGTTAAATATTAATATTAAATACTATAGTACAAATACATCTCTCTAGAATTATGTATGAACCAATATCTAGATTTGTAAATGTTTCTCAATTAAATCTAAAACAATAGATTAAAATAGAAATATAATTTAGTCCAGGATTTACTCTAAAGAGACAAGTATTTCTTCTACTTTGAACCTGACCTGGATGAAAGAATGGCAGCAGACTGGTTCAGAAATGCTCACACTGCATTTGGTGCTATAAGTGCTATAATTCATAATATGGTGGGTTAGTTCATAAAGCTAAAATGCATTTTAATTAATGTAGAACACCACAATAAAAAATATATGTAATATCTGTACAGGTGTGTAATATATGTCCAAGTACATTTTGAAAGTTTTGACAACAATATTGATCTATTTTCACTTTTCTGTTTTTAGAGCTACATCACAATTGATGAACTCCGTAGAGAACTGCCTCCTGAACAGGCTGAATATTGCATCAGTCGCATGACAAAATATATGGGTGCAGATGCAATGGCGGGTGCCTTGGATTACATTTCATTCTCTAGTGCTCTCTATGGGGAGAGCGACCTGTAATTAAAATTAAAAAAGCATCTTTACCTGTAACTCATTACTATCCCTCTACTATTGCCTAGTTCGCAGCTACCCTTCCCTGTACCTAGAAATTCTATCCCTTCAAAGGAAAAACATTTTTTTTTCGAAATGTACAATTATGTGTCAAATGTATATATACACTTTGTGTATTCATCTCAGTGGGCTGTTATGGAGGCACTATTCTCAAACAAATGATAAGTCAGGGAAAGACATCTCGTGGAAGTGATTTGGTGGTGATGACTCTGAATTAAAGTCAATAAGATGGAATGTTTCTGGAGGTTAGGACAAGGTCATATTGGAATTCTGAAACATAGAAAAACTCATGTGTAATGCCTTTTTATTATTGACACATTACGAATGCATTGTGAATTGCTTGATTTTTTTAAAGTAGTGAAATGTTGCTCATTCAGCATTATTCTAATGACACATAAAGATGCATTCACATTAGATTTGTGGCATTGGTAATAGATAGGCAGCCTCCCTTGATTCCAGGTACTATTAATGTTTAATGACAAAATAGCGATTTGACATTATTGTCTTTTCTCTGGAACTAAGCAACTTCAGTCCTTGATTTCCCTGTGCCCTGCCAAGATAGTTGTATTACAGTTTACACGTGGTTGTAAGAAATTAATTCTGGATCAATAAACCTATTTAATTCTCACATAAACATTTCATTTAAAGTATGCATCAGAGGCTCCATGTCTGAATTACATTCATTCAAGTGTATATATACATTTTGTGGCTATTGCCATATTTAAATAAAGACTGGATTATCATTTCACATTACCCACACCAGTAAAATATAATAATCTTTTTAATGTATTCTCCCTCATACAAAGGCACAAGTGGAAAATGGGATTGCAATCAAGTGACATTGTCATTGAACCATCTGCTTTGTTAACATCAACTAAATTGACAATAAAATATTTCTCTTAATGCCACTAGATGTCATATTATGGTTCAAATGCTGTTTTATGTACAAGCTTGTGAACTGAATTTTATTCTCTGATCTACTCTTAGGAAAGTTTATATCAAGATAAGTGTAATTATGAAATTATGTGAATTAGTTAATACTAGTTAATATAACAGTTATATTAATCTGTGAGAATATCATCTCAAAGTGAGCTGCAAAAATACATGTGTATAAAGTCATGAGGTAGGTGTGATTTTAAGTTTAAAATCAAAATAAAACAAATAATTATATGAATATATCTTTATTAAGTTTATATTTTAGATGCATTAGTTTTGCATATTACTAGTGATGTCCCGCGAACGGTTCGCCACGGACTCATCATTGAGTAAACTTTGACCCTGTGCCTCACAGTCAGCAGACACATTCCAGCCAATCAGCAGCAGACCCTCCCACCCAGACCCTCCCACCTCCTGGACAGCTCACTAAGAATGCAGCTTCAAAATGGATGCTGTCCAGGAGGTGGGAGGGTCTGGGAGGGAGCGTCTGCTGCTGATTGGCTGGAATGTGTCTGCTGACTGTGAGGTACAGGGTCAAAGTTTACTCAATGATGAGTCCGCGGCGAACCGTTCGCGAACCGTTCGGCAAACCGTTCGGGACATCACTACATATTACCTGTTCTAACAGATGCACAGAAATAACTTATAACAGGTAGGGCAAGGTAAACAACAATGACCCATGAGTAATTAATCAAATGGATAAATTGGGGTTTACCTACTGTACATGATACACAGTGAGAATATCTGCCAAGCCAGCTCAGCCTTTTTGGCACATGTTAGTACTTAAAAGGGATAAGTATTTGCTATGTAATTTAACAAATATTAGCCACTTGTGTTAAACACTACAGCAGATATTTTTTTGCTTTTTGTATACACATGTAATTTCAAAGGAAAAAATTATATGTTAGTTTAGCCTGGTAAAGTTAGCAATTTGTAAAAAGTCTCACCAAAGCAATTGGCAGTTTATTTACTATTACTTTGCAAAATTCAGATGTATGTATCGCATCATTTCCTTCCAGATAAAAAAGAAATAAGATAAATGGAGAGTACTAGTAGATATATACCGTATTTATCGGCGTATAACACGCACTTTTTCTCCCTGAAAATAGGGAGAAATCGTGGGTGCGTGTTATACGCCGGCCCTTTAAATACTGCAGCCGCCTGAGCGCTCTGTCAAGAGCGCTCAGGCGGCTGCAGTTGGTACTCACCTCCCCTGTAGCGTGGCCAGCCGCTCTGCCGTCCGCGGTGGCCGGCCGGAGTGATAGGAAGGTGCACGCTCAGTGTGCACCTTCCTGTCAGTCCGACCGGGTACAGGAAACAGAAACAGAAGGGGAGGGTAAGAAGGGGAGGGGAAGTGGGGGTAAGGGGGGGGGGGGTAAGAAGAGGGGGAGGGAAGGAAGGTAAGAAGGGAGGGAGTAAAAGGGAGGGAGTAAGAGGGGAGGGAAGTAAGAAAGGGAGGTAGAAGAGGGGGTAAGAAGAGGGGGAGGGGGAGTAAGAAGGGGTAAGAGGGGGAAGGGGAAGTAAGAAGAGGGGGAGGGGGGGTAAGAAGTTCTTTATTTGAAATTTAAAGGACCACTCTAGGCACCCAGACCACTTCAGCTTTATGAAGTGGTCTGGGTGCCAGGTCCCTCTAGGACTAACCCTTTTTTTTATAAACATAGCAGTTGTAAATGCTTTCCTATGCGACCGGCTGAATGCGCGTGTGCATTCAGCCGATGACGTCGCGAGCAAGAAGGAGAGGAGGAGTACAGCTCCCCACCCGGCGCTGGAGAAAGGTAAGTGTTTAACCCCTTCCTCTCTCCAGAGCCCGGCGGGAGGGGGACCCTGAGGGTGAGGGCACCCTCAGGGCACTATAGTGCCAGGAAAACAAGTATGTTTTCCTGGCGCTATAGTGGTCCTTTAAGTTTTTTTCCCCTGAAATTTCTCTCTTAAAATGAGGTGCGTGTTATACGCCGGTGCGTGTTATACGCCGATAAATACGGTATTCAAAAACTGTAATTGGATAGTACTACTAATTTAGATTTTTTGGGGGAATCAATGAAAAAGTTATAAAGAACCTGTTCCAGGACATCAAGATAATGGGTAGTTCTTTTAACATTGATGAATTTCTCCATTACTGTTCTGACCATTGGCAATTAAAGAGGGGGGGGGGGCTCATGACATTTTGCCACTGGACACCAGGGATGAGGATCCACTAAAGTTCTCACTTTCCGGATTCCAGCGCCAACATCAGCCGGCAGGGGAGACCTAATGCGCAGGCGTGACAATGGCCATGCTCGCATTAGGACTTCCCCCATTGGAAAGCATTATACAATGCATTCCTATGGGATTTCGGGTGACACTAGATGTTCTCATGCATAGCGTGAGGACGTCCAGCGTCAGTTAGGCGACCATAAGTTGCCTAACGACCGTAATTCCCTCTAGTGGTAGTCTGGTTGACAGCCACTAGAGGTGGAGTTAACCTTCAAAGCTAATTGTTGCATTTTATTACAAACTGCAATGATTACCTTTGAAGGGTTAAGGGATCTGGGACATTGAACCCAGACCACTTCAATGAGCTGAAGTGGTCTGGGTGCCTTTAGTGTCCCTTTAAAGAAATAAACTCACCTTTAATCCAGCAATAAGACAACCTCCACATCACACCCACAATCCAGAAGCATAAGAAACATATCAGGGAGGCAGTGTTTAAAAATATATATATATATATTTTTTTTTTTTAAATAAAAAGGAATAGTGGGTGTGTGCATGTATGTAATTATGAGGTGTATCTGAATGTGTGAATATTATTATTATTATTATATTATTATTTATATAGCGCCAGCAAATTCCATAGTGATGTACAGTGGGTGTATGAACATATCTATGTGTATGAGTGTATGAGTGTTTATGTATGCGTATGTATGGGTCCATGAGTGTGTATATGAATGTCAGTATGTGAGTCCAATTTCCCTAACAAAAGGGGGTCTGATCATGACCGGGGAAACTGGAACCCATATGCAGATAGACAGGACTAGCCCAAGACATTGTGCTGCCTGGATCGAAGTATGAAATGCTGACCTCCACCCCCAAAAAAAAACCCAAAACATATATGCTTCTGCAATGGTCTCTATGTGGGTGTACTGGGGATGAAATGGGTGTCTGTGTGTGTGCTGGGGATGAAATGGGTGTCTGTGTGTGTGCTGGGGATGTAGTGTGTCTGTGTGTGTGTTGGGGATGTAGTATATGTCTGTGTGTGCTGGGAATGTAGCGTGTCTGTGTATATGCTGGGGATATAGTATGTGTCTGTGTGTGCTGGGGATGTAGTATGTGGGTGTGCTGGGGATGAAATGGGTGTCTGCATGTGTTCTGGGGATGTAGTGTGTCTGCGTGTGTTGGGGATGAAGTGTGTGCCTGTGTGTGTGTTGGGGATGTAGTGTCTGTCTCTGTGCTGGGAATGTAGTATGTGTCTGTGTGTGTGTGCTAGGGATATAGTATATGTCTGTGTGTGCTGGGAATGTAGCGTGTCTGTGTGTATGCTGGGGATGTAGTATATGTCTGTGTGTGCTGGGGATGTAGTGTTTCTGTGTGTGTGCTGGGCATGTAGTATGTGTCTTTGTCTGTGTGTGCTGGGAATGTAGCATGTCTGTGTATATGCTGGGGATATAGTATATGTCTGTGTGTGCTGGGGATGTCACCTACTCCCAGCTCTCTGTGCAGGATAGAAGGGGCTTGTTAAAGCGCCACAGCGTACGACCGGGCCCTTCATTGCATATGTCCATTGGGTGGCCCTAAGGCGCGGGCTACCCGATGGATCCTCACACAGGTTCACAACCCGTGTGGTGCTGCTGCACTGCAGCCATGGGTTGGGAAATCCTGTTTTAGTTTCTGACAGGGGCGGCAAAATGCCGTCCTTGTCAGAGTGCTGTCTGGAGCCATGACTCCAGCGCGGTCTATGGACGGGCCGGCCCTGCATATAGATAACACAAAACCCCTTGGAGGGCCTGATGTTAGGAACACGTTCCTTAAAAGTTAGTGATGGCATTGGGGCTTTATTAAGGAATCAAGTAAAGTAAGGGGATCCTGAAGTGTCAAATCCAGAATTAAAGTCAAAAAGCCTGTGGGTCAGGGCAAGCAGCAAAGCTGCATTAGTAACACTTTCTGAGTCAAAATAGCCAATAAGGTAAGGAACAGAACCAGGAGTGCAAGAACCAATCAGGAAAGGATACTGGGATTCTTCAACAAAGGTGTCTGTATAATTGAATACCAGAAATAGTGCTCTCTGGGATTTTATAGTTGCTGTATAATGGGGGAGGTTATTTCCTGTGGGTAGAGAGTAACCTGAATTCATAAAGAGTATCGAGTGCATGTCACCATTTTGACGCTTATACATGCTGTCTGCAGCATTGATGCCGCAACACTTCACATCAAAAGTTTAGGTTGATATATTAATATTAGTAAGTCAATTAATATCATTACTTCAGGGTTGTGGCAGAAATGCCTCTGCCACGTGTTCTTGAAGGGGCCTTCTTGCCAGCCTCCTGCCAAAAGACTATGGGTCCTTTAAAAACATATGTTAACAGACTTAATTTGTGGGATTTTATATTTGGTTTAGGAACCGAACAGGAGCACGAAACACCCAGGAGCTTGTTAAACCCTATTAACACTCGGTAACGATTCTAACTGCAGTGCTCTAATTGTTCATCTGGGTGGCCGCCATTCGTATGGCCGAACATGTGGCCATCTTGTTCCGGCGAACGCAGGCAGCGGTGTTTGGTCTTTGAGTTTATGGAACTGTTTTCAGACACAAACTCCCGAACACTGCTGGACTTCCATCATCACCTACATTCAGTTCTGTACATTGTGGAAGGGCACTGTTCAGTGGAATGGTTCGTCTAGATGAGGGGAACAAGCTCCAGGGTAAGACTATTGACTATGTCCGGTATTTTGTTCGGTTTTAAAACTACTGAACTAGACCAGCCACAAGCCCTGATTCTCTGGAACTGTTTTGGGCAGGAGCCTTGTGTGCTGTCGGTCAAATAATGACTTCCATGGAAATCCCGGACCCCTGGACCGATCTGAGTGATTTTTGGATATGTTGGTCCCCCAGATAGGCGCTATCAGGGGATATTACTTTTGTGGGGATTCCATGAGTTTTGGGGGTACTTTCGGGATGTTGTTAAAATGTATGTTTTCTGTGCCTGGAGATAATTGAGTTTAGTACAGTTCCTGACTCAATTATCTCTCAGGCACAGGGGAGGGGTTACCCTGTTTCGTGTGGGAGTGTCCTGGACCTGAGAGCCAATTTAATTATGTGTATGTTTTACTGTTGTCTCCTCTCAGGCCCAGCGGGAATTGCCCCTGGAATATGTATCCGGAAACCCTTTGCATGGAGATTTGCATATAAGGCTGCATGTGGCTCCCATTAAACCAGTTCATCTTCACCCTCAACATAGAGCCTTGTCTCATGTGTGGAGGGGACAGCTATATTTCTATACTCTTATACTCCCTTGGGTAATAATCACTAGCTCTTGTAAGAGCTATCCTGCTATACTCTCTGGAATAGGAAAGGTCTACCCAATGGAAGCTGGATTATGGTCTTAGGTCCAGGGTGGGTTGAGGACAGCTGTAATGCTGGCTGTGGGGTTTACAGTGGTTATTGTGTCTGGTGGAGTGCTTGAAAGTCCTCAGAGGTACTAAGAAGCAGCGATTGGCAGAGGCAGGGCCGGATTAACATAGGGGCTGATGGAGCTGCAGCTCCAGGCCCATGGAATAGGCCCATTGATTTAAAAAAAAATAAAAGTATTTTTATTTATTTTTTTACACACTACTCTTAGGGTTGCCAGGTGTTTCTCAGGTATTTCTTAGCGTTGCCAGGTATTTCTCAAAAGTATTGCTCAGGTATTTGAGACTGCCTAGCCGGTGCTGGTATTGCAGTAATACCAGCAATACAAATGTCAGTGTCAGTATGAACAGAGATTAATCAGCAATACCAGCGTTGGCCAGTAGGGGTTGCTGTGTGTGTGGAGAGAGGCAGGGATAAGAAGTGACAGCATCTCCCTCCATTCCCCTCTCTACTCAATGATCTGCAGGGGAGCAGCTCTGCACAGAGAGTCCAGACAGCAGCTCTGAGAATGCAGAGACAGCTAACAGCTCAGGTAAGTGAGGGATGGGGGGAAAGGCTGCAGGGAAACATGGGGACACAGACACTAGGGGACACTGGGAGACACTAGGGGACACTGTGAGACATGGGGACACTGAGACACTAGGGGGCACTGGGAGACCTGGGCACACATACACTAGGGGAAACTGTGAGAGATGGGGACAGTGAGAGACTTGGGGACACTGGGAGACATAGGGACACTTGGTGACACTGAGACACAAAGGGGCACTTGGAGACCTGGGGACACAGACAACAGGGGAAACTGTGAGACAGGGACAGTGAGAGACTTGGAGACACTGAGACATTGAGACACTGGGGAACATGGGGACCCTGAGACACTGTGGACACAGTCTCCCAGCCAGTGTCCCCATGTCTCCCAGTGTTCCTGGTGTCTCTCAGTGTCCCCATGTCTCCTGGTGTCTCTGACTGTCCCTAGTGTATGTGTCCCTAGTGTATGTGTCCCTAGTCTCCCAGAGTCCCCTAGTCTCTCAGTGTCCCCATGTATCTGTGACCCCATGTCTCTCCCAGTGACACTGGGAGACATGGGGACACAGACTCTAAGGGACACTGGGAGACATGGGGATACAAACACTAGGGGACATTGGGGGACACAAGGAGACATGGGGCACTCCCAGTGTCCCCATGTCTCCCAGCCAGTGTCCCTAGTATCTCAGTGTCCCCATGTGTCCCTGGTGTCTCTCAGTGTTCGTAGTGTGCCAGTGTCCCTAGTGTCTGTGTTTCCTAGTCTCCCAGAGTCTCAGTGTCCCCTAGTATAAAAGAAAAAATCTCAGGCACTCACTGTGATAGATTTAAGCAGGTTTATTGGACACTGCAACGTTTTGACCTGTACCCAGGTCTTTATCAAGTCTCCAGCGTCCCCTATGTATCACAGTGTCCCCTATGTATCACAATGTCTCGGTGCCCCATGTGTCCCTGGTGTTTCTCAGTGTCTGTAGTGTCTCCCAGAGTCCCCTAGTCTCCCAGTGTCCCCTAGTATAAAAGAAAAAAATCTCAGGCACTCACTGTGATAGATTTAAGCAGGTTTATTGGACACCGCAACACTTTTATCAAGTCTCCAGTGTCCCCTATGTATCACAGTGTCTCAGTGCCCTTCCAGTGTCCCCTCGTGTCTCAAAGTCACCCAGTGTCCTAGTGACATGGGGACACTGGGAGACATGGGGACACAGACACTAAGGGACTGGGAGACATGGGGACACAGATGCCCCCTTTTTGGGTTTGTTCGCCCCTTTCGGCAGTTCTGGTTATGTGATTTGCGTCAGTGGCCCACCCTTTTACCCTGTCCATAGACTTCCTGCTTTACTGGACACTGTTGTTAGTGGATATGGATTTACTTGAAAGATGAAAGCGTGGGTATGTGTTTTCTCATTGCTGCATCCTATGAGTTTCCCTCCAGCACCATCTCCATCAGATACATGAGGCTTGGGAGGTAGGACTGTGTTAGTGTTTTTGGTCGATAAGATTTTGTAATTAGGCCCATCATAATTGTCAGCACCAGGCTGACCCTAGGGAAAAGGACAGGTGACAGTGTGCAGAGGCAGATTTCTGGAGGTTGACAGGGAAAAGGACAGGTGACAGTGTGCAGGGGCAGATTTCTGGAGGTTGACAGTGTGTTGGGAGGGAGACAGTTTTGGGGGGCACAGTGGGGGGGGTATGGTGACGTAACAGTATGGGTGGGCAGTGTGTGGGAGGGTGAGAATGTGGGAGGAGTACAGGTGACAGTGTGTGGAGAGGGTGACAGTGGGGGAAGGGTGACAGTGTGGGAGAGTGAGAGTATGGGAGGATGAGAGGTGCAATGTGAGGAGGGCAGTGTGTGGGTAGTTCAAAAGGCACTCCAAAGGTTCAATTTCAGGCAATTTATTGTCACCAGAATGTGCAAAGAAATGTTTCGACCAGTGTGGTCCTTATCAAGCTAACAAATGTATGTGACAAACACAATTATATAGCACACAGGATGACTGTGTGGGGAGAGGGTGACTGTGTGGGAGAATGATAGCATGGGAGGAGGACAGGTAACAGTGTGTATGGGAGGGTGACAATGTGAGGAGGGCAGAGTGTGGGAGGTTGACAATGTGAGGAGGGCAGTGTGTGGTCACAGTGTGTGGGAGAGTGACGATGTGAGGAGGACAGTGTGTGGTGACAGTGGAAGTGTGGGGAGGGTGACAGCATGTGCGGAGAGTGACAGTGTGGAGGCAGTGTTTCTGGGGGTGACAGTGTGTGAGGTGAGAGACAGTGTGGGGAGGGTGACAGTGTGGCAGTGTGGGATAGTGCTTGTGGGCAGTGTGTGGGAGTATGACAATGTGGGTGGAGGATAAGTGACAGTGTGTAAGGGCAGTTTTTGGGAGGGTGTGTGTGGGGATGGTGACAGTTTGTGAGGGGCAGTGTGTGAGAGTGACAGTGTGTGGGAGGGTGACAGTGTGGTGGGCAGTGTGTGGAAAGGGTGACAGTGTGTAGAGCTGCGGTGTGGGGGAGGGGGACAGTGTGTGGGACATTGACAGTGTAGAGACAGCATGTGGAAGGGCAGTGTGTGGGAAATGGACAGGTAACAGTATGTGGGGGCAGTGTGTGGGGAGGGTGATAGTGTGGTTAAGGGTGGTGACAGTGTGAGGAGGGCAGTGTGTGGGAAGGGTGATAGTGTGCGGGGAGGATTACCATGTGTAGGGGGAGGACAGGTTTGATAGTGTGGGAGGATGGCTGTGACCCAGCCGCTATATGTAAGCTGGAGTCGCGTAGCGCCGCACGCACGTGCGGTCTTATTAGTGTAGGGAGAGAATGCTTAGGAGAGTATTCTGCAAACTAGTACATTAGTGGGGTGGGGTGCACTTCATATCTTAAGGGGTCAAATAGAAGCTTCAAATACAGCGGTTACATCTGAGTTTTAAAAAGTCAATTGTTTTGGTGCTAAATAGTACATTAGTGGGATAGTATATTAGTGGGGTTCATTTCATATCTGAGAGTCAAATAGAATCGTCAAATACTGCTGTCACATTGCAGTTTTAAAACGTACAAATTTTTGGGTGCTAAAAAGTACATTAGTGGTGTGCACTTCATATCTGAGAGTCAAATAGAAGCGTCAAATACTGCTGTGACATTGCAGTTTTAAAACTTAAAATTATTTGGTGCTAAACTGCTAAATAGTATTTTAGTGGGGTGCACTTCATATCTGAGAGTCAAATAGAAGCATCTAATAGTGTGCTTACAGCGCAGTGGTAAACATTCTTATTTTCTTGGTGTTATTCTGCTAAATAGTACATTTGCGGACTGCACTTCATATCTGAGAGTCAAATAGAAGCGTCTAATAGTGCGCTTACAGCGCAGTGGTAAACATTCTTATTTTCTTGGTGTTATTCTGCTAAATAGTACATTTTGGGGCCTGCTCTTCATATCTGAGAGTCAAATAGAAGCGTCTAATACTGCGGTTACAGCGCAATTGTATACATTCCAATTATTTTGCTGCTAATCCGCTAAATAGTACCTTTTGGGGCCTGCGGTGCACTTCATTTCTGAGAGTCAAATCGAAGCGTCTAAAAGTGTGCTTACAGCGCAGTTGTAAAAATTCTAATTTTCTGGGTGTTAATCTGCTAAATATTACATTTTGGGGCCTGCTCTATATATCTGAGAGTCAAATAGAAACGTCTAATACTGCGGTTACAGCGCAATTGTAAACATTATAATTGTTTTGCTGCTAAACTGCTAAATAGTAAATTTTGGGGTGTGCACTTCAAATCTGAGAGTCAAATAGAAGCGTCAAATACTGCGGTTACAGCGCAATTGTAAACATTCTAAATGTTTTGCTGCTAAACTGCTAAATAGTACATTTTGGGCGTGCTCTTCATATATGAGAGTAAATCGAAGCGTCTAACAGTGTGCTTACAGCGCAGTGGTAAACATTCTTATTTTCTGGGTGTTAATCTGCTATATAGTAGATTTGCGGACTGCACTTCATATCTGAGAGTCAAATAGAAGTGTCTAATAGTGTGCTTACAGCGCAGTGGTAAACATTCTTATTTTCTGGGTGTTATTCTGCTAAATAGTACATTTTGGGGCCTGCTCTTCATATCTGAGAGTCAAATACAAACGTCTAATACTGCGGTTACAGCGCAATTGTAAACATTCTAATTGTTTTGCTGCTAATCTGCTAAATAGTACATTTTGGGGCCTGTGGTGCACTTCATATCTGAGAGTCAAATCAAAGCATCTAATAGTGTGCTTACAGCGCAGTGGTAAATATTCTTATTATCTGGGTGTTAATCTGCTAAATAGTACATTTTGGGGCCTACTCTATATATCTGAGAGTCAAATAGAAGTGTCTAATACTGTGGTAACAGCGCAATTGTAAACATTCTAATAGTTTTGGTGCTAAACTGCTAAATAGTACATTTTGGGGCGTGCACTTCAAATCTGAGAGTCAAATAGAAGCATCTAATACTGCAGTTACAGCGCAATTGTAAACATTCTAATTGTTTTGCTGATAAACTGCTAAATAGTACATTTTGGGGCGTGCACTTCAAATCTGAGAGTCAAATAGAAGCGTCTAATACTGCGGTTAATGCGCAATTGTAAACATTCTAATTGTTTTGGTGCTAAACTGCTAAATAGTACATTTTGGGTGTGCTCTTCATATATGAGAGTAAATCGAAGCGTCTAACAGTGTGCTTACAGCGCAGTGGTAAACATTCTTATTTTCTGGGTGTTAATCTGCTATATAGTACATTTGCGGACTGCACTTCATATCTCAGAGTCAAATAGAAGCGTCTAATAGTGTGCTTACAGCGCAGTGGTAAACATTCTTATTTTCTGGGTGTTATTCTGCTAAATAGTACATTTTGAGGCGTGCTCTTCATATCTGAGAGTCAAATACAAGCGTCTAATACTGCGGTTACAGCGCAATTGTAAACATTCTAATTGTTTTGCTGCTAATCTGCTAAATTGTACATTTTGGGGCCTGTGGTGCACTTCATATCTGAGAGTCAAATCAAAGCATCTAATAGCGTGCTTACAGCGCAGTGGTAAATATTCTTATTATCTGGGTGTTAATCTGCTAAATAGTACATTTTGGGGCCTACTCTATATATCTGAGAGTCAAATAGAAGTGTCTAATACTGTGGTTAATGCGCAATTGTAAACGTTCTAATAGTTTTGGTGCTAAACTGCTAAATAGTACATTTTGGGGCGTGCACTTCAAATCTGAGAGTCAAATAGAAGCGTCTAATACTGCGGTTAATGCGCAATTGTAAACATTCTAATTGTTTTGCTGCTAAACTGCAAAATAGTACATTTTGGGGTGTGCACTTCATATCTGAGAGTCAAATCGAAGCGTCTTATAGTGTGCTTACAGCGCAGTTGTAAACATTCTTATTTTCTGGGTGTTAATCTGCTAAATAGTACATTTGCAGACTGCACTTCATATCTGAGACTCAAATAGAAGCGTCTAATAGTGTGCTTACAGCGCAATGGTAAACATTCTTATTTCCTGGGTGCTAATCTGCTAAATAGTACATTTGCGGCCTGCGGTGCACTTCATATGTGAAAATCAAATAGAAGCGTCAAATACTGCTGTCACATTGCAGTTTTAAAACGTAAAAATTTTTGGGTGCTAAACTGCTAAATAGTATTTTAGTGGGGTGCACTTCATATCTGAGAGTCAAATAGAAGCGTCTAATAGTGTGCTTACAGTGCACTTGTAAAAATTCGAATTTTCTGGGTGCTAATCTGTTAAATAGTACATTTTGGGGCTTGCTCTTCATATCTACAAGTCATGCTACAACAAAATTAATACAGAAAATTTTATCAAACCGTAATTTTCTTTTCCTGGCTATTATTCATGGCAGCATCACTTATGGGTTAGCTCCGCCCAATCAGGTACAGGACAGGAAAAATTAATTAATCTGGACCCGACTGGGGTATAAAAGGTCCCTCCTCCTTCCAACCCACAGTCGAGTTCCAAAGCTTCATAAATACTTAAGGGAGGGTTGCTGATGCTGCCATGAATAATAGCCAGGAAAAGAAAATTACGGTAAGTATGATAACATTTTCTGTATCCCTGGCTAATCATGGCAGCTTCACTTATGGGTAATACCCAAGCTTCACCATAGGGAGGGGGAAAAAAAAAATATTCTAAACCAGATAATGCTGAAATAAGTTTAATTAGATTGATTCAACAGAGGATAGAACACCTCTACCAAAAGCCGTAGAGGATGATGCCAAATCCAGTTTGTTGTGATTTATGAACGTAAGAGGTGAAAACCAGGTAGCTGCCTTACAGATGTCGTCAGCTGGAACTTCTGCCCAATTTGCCCAAGATGTTGCCAAAGCCCTTGTAGAGTGAGACTTTATCTTACTAGGAGGAGTAAGGTCTTTTAATTGATAAGCCTTGATTATAGTATTGGAGATCCAGCGTCTCAAGGTGGAGGTAGATGCTGCTTCCCCTCTCCTGGGACCTATCGGCAGAACAAATAGCTGATGAGACTTTCGAAATTGATTTGAAACTTCAACGTATTTGAGTAGACACTGTCTGACGTCCAACTGATGAAGTTTCACTTCTTCTGGAGAAGAAGGAGATGGATAAAAGGAAGGGATAACAACTTCCTGCAGAATGTGGAAATTCGAGACTACTTTAGGCAGAAATTCTTGTTTAGGTCTTAAAACCACTCTGTCGTGGAATACCTGGAAATGGTTTTCATCACAAGAGAATGCATGGATTTCTGACATGCGTTTTGCTGTAGTTATAGCCACCAAAAACAAGGTCTTATATGTTAGTAAGACAATACCCAGCTCATCTAAAGGAGCAAAGGGGTTTTCAGACAAAACCTCTAATACCATAGATAAATTCCAAGGCGGAGAATAATTCCTTTTCGGAGGTCTTATGCGAATTGTTGCTTTAAAGAATCTGGCAATAATAGGATCAGATGCCCATGACTTGTTGCAGAGGGCAGATAAAGCTGATGATTGGACTTTCAGAGTACTAAGGCTCAGCCCTTTTTCCAGGCCTGTATGAAGAAAATTTAGAATATTGATGTTAGAGGGCTGCAGGAAATCAACGTTGTTAGCTAGAGACCAGGAACAACGTATGGTAGCAAGAAGAAGTCGACCCTTTTCTGGATTTGAGGAGGGTATTAACCACAGGCTCAGAAATGCATTGAGCTAGAAGTCTCTCCTTTTCAAGAGCCGTGCCCCCAATTTCAGCTGGTTGGGGTTCGGATGAACAGCTGGTCCCTGGGTCAAGATGTCTGGTCTGTGAGGAAGAGGCCAAGGAGGTTCCAGGCTCATCTTGTTCAGGAGAGGAAACCAAGGTCTGCGAGGCCAAATTGGGATGATGGCAATTACCTTCAGACCTTCTTTCCATATCTTTCTTAGTAGTCTGTAAATCATAGGTAGGGGAGTGAATGCGTACCCCAGGTCGAATTTCCATGTAAAGGAAAGAGCATCCTGTCCTGCTACTCGAGGATCCGCATGTAGAGAGTAATACTTTTCTACCTGGGTATTGTTGTATGATGCCATAAGATCGATCTGGGGTACTCAGGGTAATCAACTGAAATACGTCCGGATGTAACTTCCACTCTCCCTGGAGAGTCCTTGTTCAGCTGAGATAATCTGATAATAAATTTTCTGGCCCTGGAAGGTAAACAGCTTTCAACCCTTGTAAATGGCGTTGCGCAAACTTCATTATAGGAGATAGTTCCATCAGAAGAGAATAGCTTCGGGTGCCTCCCTGATGATTTATATAAGATGCGACCGCTCTGTTGTCTGTATGTATTCTCACCCAAGCATTCCTCAGGAGATGATGGAACCCCTTTAGCGCCCTGAGAACTGCTCTCATTTCTCTTAAATTCAAATGAAGTTTTGACTCCTTCCATGACCATGTTCCTTGAATCCACGAGTTGTTCAAGTCTGCTCCCCATCCCAGGAGACTGGCATCAAAACGACGCGCGTTTTGCCAGTAAGGCGGCTTTTCAAAGGGACCTTACTGGCGAAACGCGCGTCGGGGTTTCTTTGGGAGATTGCTCCCTCTTCTCAAACCACCTTAATTTGAATTTAATATTGATTTTTATACATTTGAAGTGGGGTTAATTGGAACCGCTCGGTATAGCAATTATTTTTACTAAAGTTTTTCGGGGTTTGTTGTATGCTTATCAGGGCTTTCTTTTCCGACTAATAGCTAACTCAGAATTTTAGCAGTAGCAGTTGCCCATGAAGGCACAGTTAGATGTTTTTTCTACTTACATAGACAGCAATCATCAGTATTTAGATACCAGCAACTGCAGCTTTAGTTTCAGCAACAAGAAGTGATCTTTCTGATTAAAACACGAAGGAACTGTGCACAGTATACACCTATTAAGGCGTCCTGCAGATTCACTTCTCAGTTTATTTTTTCTGGCTAGTTAGCTAATTTAGTGGGGTTTTCTTGAGGTAGGTGCCCATGAAGGCACATGTAGTTTTTTGCAATACTTCTTCTAAACTTATATTGGGAATTTAATTAATCTTTGTTTTTCTCTACCTCTTATAGACAGCACATATATTGTACTGCAGCATAAGTTAATTGAAAGCATTAATTTGCAACAACTTAGTTAATCGAAATTACTAATTTAGAATAATTTTAGACATTATCTAACTGCTGATTATTTGTCAAATGATTAATTTGTAATAATCTGGACATTATAATCACTTATTGTTGTGTATCTCTCATCTCTCTATATTCCTTTTTGGCATATTGAGTGTTTTATCACATCTATTTGTTTCTTCATCTCATTTTAATTATATCATTAAAAGCTAATTTTTAACCTTATCTATTCTATGGCAGGAGTTCTTCTTTTTTCTTTTTGAATTATTCCAGTTAGGGTTAACCCCTTCACTGCCTAGGTTGCAATACCATTAAGCTTCAACTCTTTTTTTCTCTTAATAATTTCTCTCTGGTCTATTCCATTCTTCCTGGATGACCTCCTTAATAGCAATGTGGACCGGAAAGGAGGGCCTGTTGGACTTCAGATCTTCGAAATATCTGTCGGATTCCTTCTTTTCTGTACTTTCTTCAGGGATTCTTAAGGTTTCTCTGATAAGATAAACCAATTTATCCACATCCCTGGAATCCAGGGATCTTGGACAACTATCTTCCTCTTCTTCCTCTGAAAATTCTTCCATTAAGTCAGAATCTTCTTCCGATTTTACATAACTCTCCACTCTAGGACGCTTAGAGGTAATCATTTTATTTGACGATTTGAAGCCTTCTGCAATAGCTTCTGATATCCATTTTTTTTAAATCAGCCTGTGGGGAACTTTTCTTTTCCCATTCATTAGCTGCTTCCGCCAGGCAAGCTTTGCACAAATTATTCCTACTACACACTCTAGTGAACAGGACCTTCATGTAGTGTGTTCTTTTTTTAACATCATACAGCATCCTTTAATGTGCTTTTCAGATGTCATATTGTGAATTACCATTTTTTGTGTAGCCTGATTTTTTATTTTTTTAAAAGTGAAAAATAAGTGTTATTATGATCGCCTCATATACAGAAGCTTTAATATACATTTCTATATTGTGTAAAGACACAGCTACAAAGTTAAAAACCAAACACCAAAACAACGTGCCAGACAATCTACCTGTACATGGCTAGTGTGATACAATAAGTCTACATCTTAAAAATGCAATAACCCACAGAAGATGGTGAGAATTTTTTTGCAAATGGAACTTTGATTCGAATTTACTACATTGGTCACTTGTAATATTGTTTCACACCTACAACACTTGTTACACAGATCTAAGTGATACAAAATAGATTGATATTTTCTACACTAGAAACTACCAGATAACAAGCTGCTATATTTAAACCAGTGATCAATAGCTAAGAGGTACTTGAACAATATTGTAAGTCTGGAGCAATACCCTCACAAGTCAAACTGAGAGGTCAGTTTATAGGGAAAACTGTTGCCTGGATACAATTCTTAAACAATTTTCATATGTCCTTTGCAGACTTTACATGCTGGAAAAACACAGGTGCCAACTGCTGTGGCTTTCTCCAGTGTGCATACCGGCAAGGAGGGCAGCGTTGAGGAGTGGGTGGAAGATGATGTGGAGGATGATGAGGTCCTAGACCCCACATGGAATCAAGGTCATGCGAGTGACGTGTGCAGTTTGGAGGAAGAGGCGCTGGTAGCACAGGGGCACCAGCATAAGAGGGAGCAGGGTGCAAAAGCAGAGCGTCCGTTCCCTAGCGCTCGTCGGCATGGCGTCCGTTCGCTAGCGCTCGTCGGCATGTACTAGCTAGAGAATTACCAGTTATCCAAGTAATACATGTAGCGATCAAAGGATCCATAATAGAGTTAAGCAAACCTGAACTGCAAAGTTCAGGTTTGTACCAGATTTAACGATCCATTCGTAGTTTCACAGTGAGGTGGGCAGTCCGGTGACCAGGACCCAGACACTGTATGCCTGATGTTGAAGTTAGGAGTCACAGTGTGCAATGGATTAGCAGGGTCTGGTGCAGGGTAACCGCACACCCCCTAGTGCTGAGCACCAGCGTTTGTGCGGCCACATACCAGGACCCCGATGCAGCTTCAGTAAAAAGAGTACTGGATACCAGAAGCCATCACCAGACTGATCCGCAACTTGGAACAGGATGTGACACATTCACTGTAGCGGCTGTGCGTGCTTTTGGCGTTGTCACCCTGCTGCAGCTCGCCTGTCTGCGCTGCAGCGTAACCTCGGCCTTCCCGCTCACCGCCTCATGAGACTGTGCGAGCAGCAGCAGGCGATAGTGGAGTTTCAGCTGCAGCACGCACGGGTCAGTGGCTCTGCACCAGACTTCCCTCCAATTGATCAGAGTTAAAGGATTTCAAGTGGACTCTAAAGAGTCCTGTATTGTTATTTGTCGTCATTACCTTCCCGCGTCGGGAGTGGGTCATTTGCGCGCCTGCTGCCTTCCTTGCCGTTTCTCAGGGTCCCTGTACGGAATGGAACCCTGATTCCCCATTACCTGTGGTCACCATGGTAGGCGCAGAAACTGGCATCGAAAGTTGATATGGATGATATCTGCATGCAAAGTCGCCGCCACGGGGATGTGCGATTGCCCCGAGGTTCTCTAGAGTCAACAAAGTGCCTGCGCAACTATAATGTCAACAGCTACTCTGCGGAACAGAGTTGTCTTTTTTATATGTCCCAATGTTTTGTGGGCCACCCCAATTAAAATATATATATATATATATATATATAAATATATATATATATATATATATATAAAACAGTGTTGGCTACCTCATCCTCCTCCTCAACCTATGGGTCACTTAGTATAAACTAGGTACACATTAGCAGAGGCTTGTAAAGGCCTTTTCTCCATGCATTCGAAGTGGAGCATTTCTCCATGCATCAGGACTGCAAGAAATGCACTGCAGGCCGCAAATTTTTCTTTTTTTGTATGTCCCAATATTTTGTGGGCTACCACAATAAAAAAAAAAACATAAAAACTGTGTTGGCTACCTCATCCTCCTCCTCCACTGCTGCTTCCACCTACACCGCCACGGTCACCGCCTCCTTGACCTATGGGTCACTTAGTATAAACTATGTACACAATAGCAGAGGCTTGTGAAGGCCTTTTCTCCATGCATCAGAAGTTGAGCTCAGTTTGAACAATGAAAGAGAATACCCTGCACTCCAACCCTCTCTCAAATGGATAATTCTGGTGATCCTCCTGACAGCCATGCTTTAGATTTTGATTTCTATTCTTCTAAAATCAAAGATTACATCTAGTGCTATTTTATGGCTCAGCTGTTTGTTTGTTTTTTTATGTTATTTTAAGTGATTTCCCTATCCACATTTGTTTGCAGGGCACTTGCTGCTTTTGCAGCCCTCTAGCTCTTTCCGGGAGTTTTTTAGAGGCATTTTTGAGGCCAAAAGTTCGGGTCGCCATTGACTTCAATGGGGTTCGGGGTCAAGTTTGGCCGAACCCACCGGACCCAAACATCCAGGCGTCCGCTCAACTCTATTCATGACAAAACAGTTCCATAGATTTGAGGCTAAGTGACGCTGGAGGAAGACCAGGGATCGCAAGGTTTTTGTGCCGAAAATAGTTTAAGTGTAGTCGCGGCTAAGTCCCCCTGAAGTCTATTCGCGGTTTTAGTCCATGCAAACACGATGGCCACCACCACGTGTTCGAATGTCGAATGGTGACCACTTCGACTGTTCGGGAGTTCGAAGAACCAATGTTTAAAGTGCCAATAGGCACAATTAGGGTCTCTCAGCCAAAATAAATTAAAGGGGCCATAGTCACAGGGTAAAAGGCTGGCAAATAGTCCCCTCCAAAACCCAGTGGTGAAATGGCTTTCGTCAGAGATGCTGTGCTGCGAATGTATCTATTGCATACCAAGGATGCATGGTGCTGTTGGTGAGAACTTTGTGTTATAAAAGTCTACTCAATAAGGAGTGAACTGCAAGGAATTGAGATGGGAATTTAAAACTTTAAGTGGAAATAGTGCAGCTGCTTCTAAGTACTGCTACAAAATGTATTTGGAGATATTCTGGAGAGTTTTATTGATTATTCAACTAAGATTTTTCTAAGATTTTTCATTTTACTTTTACAGGTAAGAGTCATCTAGGAAAAGGTTTTAGATTTAACAAGGTTTGATTTCCTGTTGATAATTGGTAAGGCATTTGATTTAACCCCTTAACGACGTTACGGCGTTCTATGCTGCGCCCATTATAATGGGCTTTTAAGCCGTTGCGGCGGCATAGAACGCCGTAACAGCTTAAGCCCCCAGGAGCTCTGGTGGACTTACCTGCACCGCAATCCTCTTCGGGAGGACTGCCTGACAGCCCAGGCAGCCCTCCCACAGCAAATCAGGCCTCCGGGGGCCATGGGATCGCTCTCCCTATAGCTAGCTGTGGATCTGCCTGCAGGGGGACTGTCTGATCTGTCAGAAGCTAGAGAAGCCCATGCACCTTGGATAGTCTACAACCCACAGAGAATACTGTTTCCCATGACTTTCCATCAATACTCTCCTTCTGTGTCCAGAGTCATCAGGGTCAATTGGAAAATGGTCGCTACAGATGACACACTCCCCAAAGTCTTCAAAGAAGCTCCTCTTATTTGTTTCAAAAGGAACAAGAATTTAAAAGATATGCTGGTACAGACAGACAGATCCAGTGAAGAGTTACACCAAAGCCCCAAAAATCCGTCCGATGCTTGGGCTGTGTCACATTTGGGCTTATGTTACAAGCCAAATCTTTCAACAACCCACATACTAACAAGAAGTACCAAATTAAGCACACCATAACATGTAAAACACCATATGTTGTTTATAAGTTGGTATGCCCATGTGGTTTAAATTATGTGGGTAAAACAGACTCCACTGTGTAAAAGAATACATGGCCACCGCTCAAGCATCAGACTGGCATACAGAGATGGTACTTCTGACAAGCCAGTAGCTAAACACTTCTTGGCTGAGCAACACCGTTTGTCCACATTAAAGTTTGTGGCTATTGATCATATACAACAACCTAGAAGAGGAGGTAACAGGGGTCGAATGTTACTCAATAGAAAAGCGTTTTTACATTCAAATATACAAACACTGTTCAGTAATAAATAGAACACTGCAAGTATGGGAAAATGGTAGAGCCCCAGCTGTCAAAGCATTGTGGAGTTCCATGACAGTTCCATGATATAATACCATCACTTCTCAATATTAACCAATTAGATGATAATACAAATCAAATTATGAAACTTTGTAAACAATTGGAGATACTATTAGCAAAGGAGCTAAAATTAAGTTGGAAGTAGAAACCTTGGAAAAGTACATTAAGGATAAAATTGTACCAAGAGGTTTGAGATACAATAAACCACCTAAAGACTGTAAGCTCATTTTAACAAGGCCCTCTTCAACCTATTGTTCCTGTTAGGTTTTGTAATTGTCTCATTTATTGTTAAATTGCCCCCTTTGATAATACTGTAAAGCGCTATGGAATATGCTGGCGCTATATAAATACCAGTAATAATAAAAATAATAATAATAATAACACCTTTGATAGGGATGACGTGACATTTATGGATGAATGGTATGGGAACAACCTTTCCACACAGACAATGGTCTTCCTTATTAAAAGGAGAGACCTTGATAAACAAGAGGTTGTTCCTATGAAACATAAAAGTATCACAGGGATATCAATGATTACGCCACAAAAAATGCGTATATACGGAGTAATCCTACGCAAAATAATACTAATAGACAACAGCCGAATAGATGCTATGAAGCAACACAAATGAATTTGAAATTTGACAATAGAAATTAAAACAGGCGATCAACACAGTACGAAACGAATGATCAAAACAATAGAAATTCTACGATCAATACAACATGAGCCAAGTGAGAATGACATGCCTGGTTGGCAAGTACAGAGACAGCCATATAAATACTTGAGATCAAAAAACAGCACCCCCACTTTTAACAGAGAAACAAACACCAATAAGAGGATTAATTTAAAGAACCACTTTGAGAATCTTTCTCAAATGGCTGATAGAGAATCCCCTCCTTTAGATAATAGGGGTAATAAAGGTATGTCTTCCCCTTTTCCATTTTAACCACAAAAAAACAGACGGAAAGAGGTAGAAGGAATAGAGAGGGGTGACGAGTAGATTGGAAGAGAGAAACGAGACAGAATGTAAAGTGAATAGGAATTTTTAACTTATCAGACAAGATTCTAACTAATGACCACACAAAACTACTCAATAGAGGTTTAAAATTTACACCCAGAAAAGGGGTTGACAAATTCGGATTTTATATAGACCTCCAGAAATTCAATAGAAAATTGTGCCTTAAAAAGTATTTTTTTAAAGAAAAAAAAATGTACCTATAGCCTATAATGAGAATACCAACTCTAAGGTTACACTGAAAGAAAAATAATCTTTCTTTCCAAAATGGCACATGTCGGGAGAAATTACTGCATTTGAACACGTGGTAAGATGAGAAATAGATAAGATTAAACAACTAAATAAATTCCAGTTTAATCTCACTGGAGGGGAAAGCAAGCTCTTAAAGATCTGAGAGATGATCAAAATATGGTGGTTAAGCTGGCTGATAAAGGAGGGGTGTTGTCCTAATAAATAGTACATATTATTTAAAAGTGGCTTTAAGATTGCTTAGTGATACGAACACATACAAAATATTAACAATGGACCCTACCAAAGTATTAAAAATCAAATTTGTGACTTTGATCGATAAAGGCTCTGTGACAGGAGTTCTAAATAAAAATTAGAGGAAATAGACATTAAAAATGTACACATCCCAATATTTAATTAAGGATCCCACCAATCCCCCAGGAAGGCCTGTTATATCTGGCATTAACTCGGTATCTAGCAGACTATCAGCGTATGTAGACCATATTTCACAACAAGTAGAAAAAAAACATACTTGAAAGATACCACCAATGTGATACAAGTCTTACAAGCGATAAAACGGGAAAAGGGATTTCTTTTAGTTACAGCAGATGTTTCCTCGCTATATACTGTAATAAAAAATCAACTAGAGATTAAAGCCTGACAATACTTTAGAGAAATCATCTCTCTATCCAGACGAACAAATGAAGTTTGTTCTGGAGGCTATAGAATTAATTCTACGGAACAATTACCTTTGGTTCCAGGATACCTTCTCCAGATCTGTGGAACCAATATGGGCACAAGGTTTACCCCCAGCTACGCCAATTTGTTTATGACATTTTGGGAATTACATTTTATGGATCCAACCAGTAGCTTGGGTCCAAACCTGGTGCTCTATAAAATATATATAGACGATCTGCTGTTCATCTGGAGGGGAGGTGAAGATCCCCTCACTGAATTCATCCAACATGTAAACTCTAATGATTGGTCAGTGTCGCTCACATTCAATTTTAGTGATACAAATGCTGACCTGGATTTGACTAGATATGTAGAAGAAGAAGAAATTAAAACTAAAATGTTCTTCAAATCTGTGGACGTAAACAGTTGTATCGAAAAGGCCAGCTGTCACTACAGTCCCTGGTTAGAGAGTGTACCTAGAAGCCAGATGATTTGTTTAAGAAGGAATTGTACAGATATAAACACATTTACAAACAAAGTCTTAAAATTATGCAGGATTTTAAAAGTAGGGGTTATTGCCGCAGCATGATGATGTAGACGCACACTCTGCAAGAGGCAGGGAAGGCAAAGTTGGGTGCGAGAACAGGCAAGTAGCATATTGGCGAGAGCGAGAGACCAGCGAGAGATTGGCGTTCTGTGAGAGAGGCAGTATGTAAGCGCAGCCAAGCGCTAATCGAACTGGCTAACAAGCAGACTTGGCAGGGGACTTGAGACTGGGGAAAAGGGGAGCTGAGCGACATGGTGTCAGCAAAGGTCATCATGTCGACCACACAGATCACTAGATCAATCAGCCGCACACCAGTCCCTGCATGCTGAAACGCAGTGAGTTGTAAACATATCAAAAGGAGGAAGGAAGGAAGGGAAGGAAAAAAAGAGAGAAGAAAAAGGGGATAGAAAGTAAAAGGGCAGAAAGGAGCAGAGAAAGTAAGAGGAGGAGAGAGGGATAACAAAAAAGAAAAAGAAAGAAAGTGAAAAAAAAACAAAAAAGAGAAAATCCCTTCAACAAAGGAACTCATACTTTGAAAAGATAAATTAACCTATGAAGAATTTTAAAATATAATCTAAAGAATGAAAAATGTAAAGATGTGCTGATCTTCCAAGACCTCTTATCAGACTAGAACATGACGAAAATCTTTTGCGGTCTTTCTATAAAAATTAAGACAAAATAATATTAGATATAACTTGGGCTTCCCAACTTCTATCAATTTATTCAGGGAAGGAAGAAGATCATCATTTCAAACACCAGAAGCCTTAGAATGCTAGTCTAAAGAAACTATATCTATTTGAGTATGATATACAGTGAGGGAAAAAAGTATTTGATCCCATGCTCACAGAGATCAGACGTTTCTTGTAGTTGGCCACCAGGTTTGTACACATCTCAGGAGGGATTTTGTCCAACTCCTCTTTGCAGATTCTCTCCATGTCATTAAGGTTTCGAGGCTGACATTTGTAAACTCGAACATTCAGCTCTTTTCACAGATTTTCTATGGGATTAAGGCCACTCCAGGACCTTAATGTGCTTCTTCATGAGCGGGTCATTGTCAAGCTGGAATACCCATCCACAACCCATTTTCAATGCCCTGGCTGAGGAAAGGAGGTTCTCACCCAAGATTTGACGGTACATTGTCCCTTTGATGCGGTGCAATTGTCCTGTCCCCTTAGCAGAAAAATACACCCAAAACATAATATTTCCACCTCCATATATGACAGTGGGGATGGTGTTCTTGGGGTCATAGGCAGCATTCCTCCTCCTCCAAAAACGGTGAGTTGAGTTGATTCCAAAGAGCTTGATTTTGGTCTCATCTGACCACAACACTTTCACCCAGTTCTCCTCTGAATCATTCAGATGTTCATTGACAAACTTCAGATGGGCCTGTACATGTGCTTTCTTGAGCAGGGGGACCTTGCGGGGGCTGCAGGATTTCAGTCCTTCACGGCGTAGTGTCTTACCAGTTGTTTTCTTGGTGACTATGGTTCCAGCTGCCTTGAGATCATTAACAAGATCCTCCCGTGTAGTTCTGGGCTGATTCCTCACCGTTCTCATGATCATGAAACGCCACGACGTGAGATCTTGCATGGAGCATCAGACCGAGGGAGACTGACAGTTAATTTAGATGCAATACACCCCTCACTGCCGGTGGCTGCCGAAAAACACTGGTCACTCCCCCCGGAGCGATCACTTCCGGGTTGCTCCACAGGGAGCCCGGCAGTGAGGCAGAGCATCGGAAGCTATCAGGCAAGCTTCCGATGCTCTGCCTGTACGGAGTGCCTCAAGGGGTCGAGGCACTTAGTTACAATTTTGAACTTCCATTATCCTGGGTAGATATCAACTGGAGAATCTATTTAAAGGAGAAGATCATCTATGTTCTTGGGAAAGACATATATGCTGTATAAGTCCAGAGCCTATTTTTAACTGGCTCATAAAATTGTGAGTGGTTTCAGCTTTAACATCAACCTTACTTCATTTTATATACAGGTTACACTATGTTTTGTTTGTTTGCTTATATTTCTATATAGGTAATCTGTATCCCATGCATATGTATACAATAAAAAACTACTATCAGTTACCATAATTGTATATATGTTACAGGTAACATTTATTATATACTCTGTGTGCGCTTGTACCTTTCATTTTCACTATCAATTGGATTCAGATCTGGGGAATGTCAGGCTACCTCTGGCGAACACATGGAGGGCTGTGCGGCCCCCCAAAGAAATGCCACCCCACACCATTACTGACCCACTGCCAAACCGTTCATGCAGGCAGCAGAACATTCTCCACTGTGTCTCCAGACTCTGTCACATCTGTCACATGTGCTCAGTGTGAACCTGCTTTCATCTGTGAAGAGCACAGGGCGCCAGTGGCAAATTTGCCAATCATGTTGTTCACTGGCAAATGCCAAACGTCCTGCACGGTGTTGGGCTGTGAGCACAACCCCCACCTGTGGATGTCGGGCCCTCATACCACCCTCATGGAGTCTGTTTCTGACCGTTTGAGCAGACACATGCACATTTGTGACATGCTGGAGGTCATTTTGCAGGACTTTGGCAGTGCTCCTCCTGTTCCTCCTTGCACAAAGGCGGAGGTAGCGGTTCTGCTGCTGGGTTGTTGCCCTCCTACGGCCTTCTCCACATCTCCTGATGTACTGGCCTGTCTCCTGATAGCGCCTCTATGCTCTGGACACTACGCTGACAGACACAGCAAACCTTCTTGCCACAGCTCACATTGATGTGCCATCCTGAATTAGCTGCACTACCTGAGCCACATGCTACCCTACCACTAGAGTGAAAGCACCACCAGCATTCAAAAGTGACCAAAACATCAACCAGGAAGCATAGGAACTGAGAAGTGGTCTGTGGTCACCACCTGCAGAACCACTCCTTTATTGGGGGTGTCTTGCTAATTGCCTATAATTTCCACCTGCTGTCTATCCCATTTGCACAACAGCATGTGAAATTGATTGTCACTCAGTGTTGCTTCCTAAGTGGACAGTTTGATTTCACAGAAGTGTGATTGACTTGGAGTTACATTGTGTTGTTTAAGTGTTCCCTTTATTTTTTTGAGCAGTGTATATATATATATATATATATATATATATATATATAGATAGATAGATAGATAGTTAATACAATGTTAAACAAAAATCTGCACACAAGTCAAGCCTTCTTTATTAAACGAATTTGCATATGCCCACCCAGAATCCTTTGTGGTAATAACATCACTGCAGATTTGTGATTTCTGTGGGAAAAGCAAATCTTATGGTTTGACTGGGGTGCAGAGTTTTTTTTTTTTGGACAATCTTTATTTTCGTTTTAACGAATACATACAAGGTAGTGGACAAGGTAGTATACAAGAGTTCAGCACCGCAGTACACTGGGAAGATCATGCCGTGGTACGCCAACAACAGTTGTACATTGTATTACATTAAGCATGAATGCGCGTTTAGGCCAGTTAATCCACTATTATCAAGAGAAATGCGTACGTTACACTGGTAGCCGGTATCAGACTACGGCTGGTCTTGCGCTAAAACCCGCGGAGGTGTCGCTTATGTGGCCCAGGGTAGTGGAGGCGACATGATGGCTCCGGTTTTTATCCTGCCCGACCTGAATTTGTTCTGCGCAGCGCAAGCAAATTTAATAACATGCTTGTGCTGTGTTTGCTTTTAAATTGTCTCTGGTGTCTCCACAAGTGGGATACCAGAGGACAAAAGGGCCAGGAAAGCGTATTGTAACGGACCGTTTTGCCCAAAAGAGGTTAAAAACCGTTTAGGCGATATTCCCCTTTTTCAGCTGCACCGACAGCTACTGCAAGCACCAATCTCCTTAACTACAAACCCACGAATTCACCAACTCCTGAACTGCAACTAAGGGAATACTCGAAACTCCCGAACTGGAGACACACGAATAGCTGCTAGCAGACGAACAGGAAAAGCCCCCAAGCGGCTTACACTCCTGGCAATCAGTCTCTAACAGCATACAGTAAATCCTCCCCCAATAATGAGACAACACTTCACTTTGAGGGTTAAGCAGGAACTCATTTACTGGGGCTAACTGCCCGGCTTTTATGCAGGTCTCCCACCTGGTGGACACTCCCCTAGGGGACCAAATGGGAGACTGGGACACAAAGGGTAAAAGGACCAATCAAAGACTTACACATTTCAACCATCCCACAATGCATCACAATCCCTCCTCTCTGCTCTGGAGATAATTGAGAAGTAATTCAATTATCTCCAAAGACAGAGGCAAAACTCCATTAACCACATGGCAGAAAACAAACAGTAAAAGACATAAAATTACCTACAGTTACATTCAGTACATAAAACATATACGTTCTACATATCCCCAGATAGCTCAGGTCTGAGCGCACATTATTAAGCGAATGGCGCTCAGACCACAAGAATACAGTTTAATCGCCATGGAGCCAAAGTCTTTACACAGTCAACTATAAAAAAACTGAGGAAATAGGAAGCAAAAGGGAACACTCTTTGTAGGGGTTAACCCTTTGTGAACTACAACAGTAGTGAAAGCAAGGAGAAAGAAAAAAGGTGAGTGCCCTCAAGTAAAATGTAACTTTTAATAAGGTCAAGTTAAAAGAGTTATGTGATGTATCAAAAATATTTGACAAAAATACAATGAAAATGATAAATGGATCATAAAGATCAAAAGAATATATATAATAAATAAATTACTGAAGGATAAATTTATTTCCTAGGCGTTGATAACGATGGTAACCAAAGGAGGTCCTGTTCAGAAGTTTTCAGGACAATCTCCAAATGATATGCAGAAAACCAAATAGGTTTTCTAATGCATTCAAGTGTGTGCATCAATTGGTTAACAAAAAGGAAAGAAACAGTCCATAAAGTATTAACTAAAAATTGCTACATGAATTAGTGTGGCAAAAAGGGGTTCTAAAGGTTTAAATGCATTAATAGCCTTATGTGAGGTATCATGATATAACATAATAGTTTAACTCCATAAAGAACCCCATTCATAGTGCTTGTTAGATCCCAAACATGCACTGGACAAAATTTAGTGATATGAGAAAAATTATTCTATCACTAAATAACCAACTCTTGCAGTGGGAGTAGAGATCACTGCAAAAATAAATCAAGAGCATATGCTCTATAAACCCCCCACTTATAAAGCTGGAGTAGGGCTAGATATCGAAATATAAAGTATATAGAGTCTGATAACCGTCTGAACAGACATCGATATTGTGGTAAGTGTATATCGATAGAGCCCTTTCCCTTCGATATACAAGTTCAACAATGAAAACATCCCGTCCTCTCTGATTTGTTAGGGACCAACTTGCCCCGTGGTAGATACCTCTTTCTCCAGCGCCGGGCAGGGGACTCTCCTCCTCCTCGGCTGAATGCGCTTGTGCGGCAGGAGCCGTGCGCGCATTCAGCCAGTCCATAGGAAAGCATTCTCACTGTGATTTTCACAGTGAGAAGCGCGGAAGCGCCTCTAGCAGCTGTCAACGAGACAGCCACTAGACGCTGGATTAACCCTAATATAAACATAGCAGTTTCTCTGAAACTGCTATGTTTATAAAAAAAAAAGGTTAGTCCTAGCTGGACCTGGCACCCAGACCACTTCATTAAGCTGAAGTGGTCTGGGTGCCTATAGTGGTCCTTTAACCGTTCCAGTTCTGTCATACTCAACCCCCCCAAACCATGCCATACTAACCCTGTGGGCGTGAATGAGACACATGGAGGGGCTGGGGGGTGAGACGTATGGGGGGAGACCATAGTTTCTAGTCACCCGCCTGTGCGTTATATTATTTTTTCATAGTGCTCTTGTGGCTATATTATAGGATACTTTGTGGTCCAGTGTAGGGCACTGTGGAAGTTATGATCCCAGTGGGCAGTGGTCTCTGATTATTCTTTAGGGGCATGTGTGACATGTGGATCTGTTAGGTACGGATAACTGTAATACGTCCCTTATGGAGTATTATAAAGTATTATATTATTGTGTTGTCATGAGCCAACAGGAAAGTAGGGTAAGAAAGTAAGAAGCAGCTGTAAACACAAGCTATAACTACAGAAGTATACGTAAAAAAAGTTTTCATGTTGTATACATTTTTTATACCAATTCAGACACTGCTTTAAATAAGATTAGATAAATTAAAAACAATATTATGCAATAATTATTAAAATCCTTTAACAAATAAAAGTAAAAACAATAGTATATAATTATTAGAATCCTTTAACAAGCTTAACAATATATCGCCACGCTATTCTAGTAATAGCAGAAACTTTATTTTACAGTAAAATCTGCTGACTTAAGTCGATTGGAAAACAAAATCTATTTGATTTAAACGTCGTCAAAATACCACAATTATATAACGCAATTATATAACCATGCCAGGATTTAAAATGGCCGATGCATGAATGAACTCTCGACTTTATGATGGAACGAAATCTACAACAGTTGTCCTACAACCGTTCCCACACTTAATATGGCCACGCTGGGTGATCACATGCTCCTTGTTTACATGTATACTTCAAAGTTGCCGGTGTTCTACGTTCAGTGCTAGTGTGGCATGATGGCTCCCAGCGGTCTTGTTTTTTTGCTTTGTGCGCTTTATCTGGTATCTGGGATTCCTACGGGCCGGTGGTCAGATGTATATGCTGTTGAACCGGAGTTAAAGAGACTAGTGGATCTGGCTGTGCGTGAATACAATAAAGCGAGCACTCATAAAGACGTTTACCGACAACTGCAAGTCACCGATGCCAGGAAACAGGTGATAAATTAACAATATACTGTAAAGCACGGTTTAGTTCGTCTAAATGTATGATTCCCTATATTGTGGTCTGTAATCATCATTAGCTGATGTGATATTGTGCCTATATCATGTATATATTGCATATGCTGTTATACATAAATGTCCTTTATTTGGTAATAGATATGTATTGCCTTGTGTGGGCTTGACAAATTGGCTTTGAATTTAAGAGCCACATAAGTTAGTTAGGAGCCAGTTTTCTCAAACTAACAAAGCTTTAGGACACGATAGTTACCGCGCAATAGCCTCCCAATGCTTTCCTATGAGAAAGCACAGGATTGGCGGAGATCATCAAGATTGGTTATCTCCGTCATGGAGGTGGGGCCTGCCACACAAGACTGGCACGGAAAAAAGGTGTGTTAAAACACACACACACACACACACACATACTCACACATTTTCTCATACACTCACAAATGATTATTTTTTTTATTTTTTTTTATTTTTAGTAAAAGGATTCACTTGAGCTCTTCCCTACCTTTCGGAGAGATCGAGTGGATCATATTCTTGGGTTCCAGTGAGACAGTACACAGTCAATTGACCGTGTACACATGTGCTTGGCGGGGTTAGCAATGGGAGGGTTGCGCTGCTGGCGGGTCGTTAGGGCATCGACAATGGTCTGTGTGATGCCCTTGTGGACAGCGCTCTGATTGGAGCACTTGTCAGCGAGAGCTCTGTAAAGCGGGGAAATTGCACTATATAAGGCGCCCTGAGGTAACAGCTGGCTCCAAAACAACTGAAGAAAAACTGTATGCCAAAATGGCTGTGGAAGACTTGGTTTAAAGCTGTTCCCCCGCCCTACCTCCCTATAATTTTATTTCATGCCATGTTGTGTTTTTTTTTTTTTTTGGGGGTTAAGGTCACCTGCCTATTTTAAATGAGGGTGGTGTGGGGATGCGAGACTAGCTGAGTTTGGTGATTTGTTTGTTTTGGCTAATAGGGTGCGACTCTGGTAATTCATGTGTTTAAATCTCTGGAGTGTAAAGACTGGAGATGTTTGGTTACAAGTTATATATTTTAAAGTGATTTAGGTTACGGTTTGTAATGATTTGTAAACTAAATAAAAGACCACAGCCTTTTCCACTACATATCTGAGTCTCTGTGTGTTATTATTTCACTCTGTTTTTATTATGTATATTCATGAAATGTTGATATGTTGGGATAAACCCCTGCAGTGCACATCTCTGCTGTGATCCTGTAATCTTCCAGCTCTTCTTGCTCTGCTCCCTTGCTCCATTTAGTTATGTCAGGGCCAGAGTGACTTCTGATTCCAGCTCCTAGGTGATACATGAGGGAACAGAGCAGGGAGATCACTGCTCCATCGCCAACTGCCTACCTTGTTCACAGCTGCCCACCTCACTTTGCCGTAAGGTGACCAGTGCTTAACGGGCTGACAAGCACCCAGATGCAAAGACAAAATTCCTAGTCGTTGTCAAACCCTGCATTAAAGTGCAAACCAGGATAAGCCAAATTGATATATATTGGATTTCTGTCTGGTAATAGAAAGGTTAAAGGGACACTATAGGCACCCAGACCACTTCAGCTCATTGACGTGGTCTAGGTGCAAACTCCCATGACCCTTAACCCTTTTTATAAACTGTTAAAGGACCACTCTAGGCACCCAGACCACTTCAGCTTAATGAAGTGGTCTGGGTGCCAGGTCCAGCTAGGGTTAACCCATTTTTTATTAAACATAGCAGCTTCAGAGAAACTATGTTTATTAATGGGTTAAGCCTTCCCCCAAAGCCTCTAGTGGCTGTCTCATTGACAGCCACTAGAGGCGCTTGCGTGCTTCTCACTGTGATTTTCACAGTGAGAGCACGCCAGCGTCCATAGGAAAGCATTGTAAATGCTTTCCTATGCGACCGGCTGAATGCGCGTGCAGCTCTTGCTGCGCGTGCGTATTCAGCCGACGGGGCGGAACGGAGGAGGAGAGAAGGAGGAGAGCTCTCCTCCCAGCGCTGGAAAAAGGTAAGTTTAAACCCCTTTCCCCTTTCCAGAGCCGGGCGGGAGGGGGTCCCTGAGGGTGGGGGCATCCTCAGGGCACTATAGTGCCAGGAAAACGAGTGTGTTTTCCTGGCACTATAGTGGTCCTTTAACTTCTCCTCTAGTGGCTGCTGGAGGGACTCCCGGAATTGAAACAGACAAGATTTGTTTCTGCACAGGGAACCTAGTTTTGAGTAAAGTGTTTTTTTGTTTTGTTTTTTTTTTAACCCCTTCAGGACGCAGGATGGTTCAGGATCGTCCTCAGCATTTTTGCGTTGCTGACCGAGGACGGTCCTGAACCGTCCTAACGGAAAACGGGCGGCGGGAGCGATCGGAGATCACTTCCGCCGAAATCCCGTAGTTA